TCTTGTCTCTGACGGCTGTTTGCACTGCTGGTTTTATCACCGCCACTCGGGGCAGTCGACCAGGCACCGTGCATCAAAACATGTACGCGTGTTGCTGTTAGACTTGACTAATCCTCTTTATGTCTGACAATACAATGTGCTTGTTTGCATGTGTACTTGTAACGTGGGCAATTTTCTCATCAAGTGTGTGCGTGTGTGTGTGAGTGTATCTGCGAGTGTGTGTGTGTGTCTGTGTGTGTGTGTGTGTGTGTGTGTGTGTTACAAACTGTTACCCGCGCAGGTGACGTAAGCGTTTATTTTGATTTACAATCAGTAACAACAACAACAACAGTAACAATTACATTGTCCAACCGTATAGAGTGGGGTAAGGTTTAGTTTCACTGAGGTGTATTTTTTCTGTTTTAATTTTAATGTGGAGTTAAAGTTCCCAGGATACAACATCCCAGCAGAAAGGCCGAGACACAAGTACTAATATATTGATATATTGACGATATATTGTATATTTTCCCCACTCTGAAATCGAACCCAATTCTTCTGCGTGTGACGGCAAAGCGCACACTAACCGCTACACCAAATGCGAATGCCCATTTAGTGGGGTGTAACCTCCTTTGGTAAGACAAAAGATCTGTGTCAATAACACAAGGCACACGTCACGGGTTGCTTAACTTATCACAGGCTGCCTATCTAATCACAGGCTCCTGGATGTCTGTGAAGGGCCAAGCTGTATCATATCATAGGCTGGTAGTCAGCCAGCAATTGATACCTTTCGACTGTTCAGCTTAAGAAACCCGAATGGTACTTTTTTTTTTCTTCTAAATATCGACTTTTTTGTTGTTGCTTTTTCGCGGCCACGGATCTTTCTCTGTCACATATCTTTTCAATGCGAGGACCGGACTGTAAATTAGCTGTTTACAGTCCAATCCTAACATCGAAAATATAGTGACAGTTAAAGATCTGCGGCCACGGGAAAGCAACCAAAAAAAATAAATTTATATCGATTTAATCAAATGTGACATACGGGTGTCTTGAACTGAACCGTGAATTTGTGCCCAATTTAAGGTCAAACTACATGTATTTTGGTATTTCAGAGATTCATTTATTGGTGAATTTATAGGTCTACTAGTTTAAACGCCCCATTGGCTTCAGAGATACAGTTATAGGTAAATGTATACCCAGTTAAATATCCCACTATTCTCTATCAATCGTATCAGAGACCCAGTTAATGGTCATTTATACCCAAAGTTTTAGTTTAAGTAAGAAATTTAAAGGCACTTGCACCACAATTAGGTTTTATGAGTTTAGAGGTATTTCTAGGAAGATACATACAGAGAAAAGAAGGGGAGAGAAGGAGCAAACCACACCAGAGCACCCACCAACCAAGCACCATTATACCGAGTTTAAATTTAAATCCCGGACTATTCTGAAGTGGTGCTCGTCAGAGATCCAGTCATCGGTACAAGTAAACCGTGTTCTATGTCCTACTATTCTG